TTACAGTCTTTCTAGTGTAATAAGTCCTAGCCCATCTCTTCTGAAACTTTTCTGTATGGTTTCTAAAAGACACGACGACTTATTAAGCTTATATTCCATTCTTATTCCCACTCTGAGACTTCCATAACGGTAGTGAATTTTCAGTCAAATAAGTCAATTAAATTTTTGGATGCCACAGAAAACATCTGAGAAGCTGAGCTATTTATGCAAAGCGGCAGCATTTTGGCTTAGGCATTCCTGTTATTCTAGCACAAGTTAGCACATCTCAGGAAAAGTAATGCAATCAGAAGTTGCAAATTTGCATTTGAACTAAAAAGGATATTAAAGCTTTAAACTTTTGGTGTTGGTAAGGTTACAACAGATAATTCCACTTTCAAATTATAGTCAAGTCCTGCCTTTGAAAGCACTAAGGTATTTCCAGTTTAACCGTGGCGTTTAATATGCGGATTACAATGGTTCTGTAAACTGTTTTTAAGAGAGTAAGGAGGCAGATGCCATTTTAAAGAGAGACATTAAGTTTATTGGGAGACACAGAAGATTTCAGGGCACCTTTTAAAAAGACAGTCTCTTGTTGCCTTCTGACTGTGTCAGTTTCCACCTACCGAACTGTCAGTTTTTAACTCAGCTAAAAGGGAAGGGATTTAATGACCTCTCTGTTTTCCACCTGCTACAAGGTGATGTCTTTGGAACTTGGCATAGGGTTTTGCTATTTTGATAGGCTATTTATAAATAGAAGAGTGATTGTGTTTTCACATTGTTGTTTTAAAAGTTTCTTGAAATGTTTTCTGGGTTATGCATAAGTCAAACCCACTTGGAAACTGTCAGTAGGAGTTTGGTGGTATAAATTTAGTGTCATTTACATAGGTCTAACATGGAAGAAGCAATTAGCTGAAAATTTCTTTTTCATTTGATTCAGTTCTAGCTGAATCCAGATATAATTCACAAATTTCAGATGAGGAAAGAGGGATGAAAGAGGATCTAGTGAGTACCCTTAATTGGGGGAAAAGAAACATCCTTTCAGTTATAGCTCACATCTAATTAGGCAAGAGTTAATGTCAGTTTTTCTAATATCACTTTATAAAATCACATATTAAGAGGATCTGAATAGGTTTGATGATTTCATGTCATCCTTCAGAATTTGTGGTTTTCCTCTCTTTATACTTCCCAGGACAGTTGTTCTAGCATAGCAAGTGTTAATACATATTTGTTGAAAGAGAGCATTGATACTTCATAAATTTGGAATATCAAGACCGAGGGGTTATAAACTTGTACAACAATAACAAATGTTTAAATCTGAGAACCAGTGACATATTAATTTATAGGGAATAAATTATAGTTTCCTGTTTAATGGTAGCCAAATCAGAATTTTTCCAAGAGTTAGTTTTCTGTTAGAGTATAAAAATTTAAACAACATAATTGAAATATCTCTTTCCTTCTTGATGAATTTGTGACCAGTGCTTCCAGAACTCATCATTTTTTAGGGAGCTAGGGCTTGGTGGATGGGTATTGCTGGGGCCATATATAATTATGAAGATTTTATCACCCTAAGAAACAGTTTCACATTGTATATGTGGTTGGTACAAAGGGGAAAATATAATTTTATCATAAAGAAAAGAGTAGCTTTCAAAAAGTACTTATCTTATTCAATCAACAAAAATACAGGAGACAAATGGATATTACCAATGTCTTAATAATTGATGATCAAGAGATGGGGAGAAAAATTTCATGTAAATCTCTTTTATTGACTTTTTTCTTCTAAGGAAATCCAGAGTGACAAAGGAGATGAAAGCTGCTTCAGCCACTTGACTTGCAAATCGATTTGGCCAGGATTATAACTGGGAATTAAGCCCCATTTAAAGGTATAGGACTGGTGCTAAGACAACACAGACTGGAGCATGAAGCTTGTTAATTGCCAGTGAATGACTAAAAAGCTCTGTGTCAAAAACAACGACAATTTGCTTAGGGGGCAGTACAACAGCTGCAGACAGGTTATTGTGTCTTGGTATAAAGATCTTAAGTATCCTAACTGGCTGTATCTGGCTTGATCCCCATTTTTAAAAGCTCAGAATGACTGCAGCACTTTCCTGGCATGTGGGCTGTTTTTGTTGAATAGAAGGGCTATTAATGGGGGGAAAAATGTCAGATGAAACACTATGTTCTCTCAGCTTCTCTGGGAAGGGAAGTAACAATGAAATGATTTTATTGTTAACATTATGTGCAACTTTGACCTGATATTTTCAAACTATAGCTTTACAAATTATCCCCCTTTCTAGACAACATTTTTAGATTAAAAAACCCAAAAAGATTCTGGGGCAGGAAAAACCCAGTACCCATTACTGGCCATTGCCTAAAATCTGTCATTCTCTAGTGTGTGGTGTGCATGTGTGTTGTGTTGTGTGTGTGTGTGTACAGGTGTGCATGCGCCTGTGCTTGTATGTGTGTCTTAGGGATAGGGGAGCGTTTTAATAGGTAGCCTGTGTATGCCGTTTGTGGGAGATGTTTAGGGGATAGTTAGGTATATGAAAATTGGAATGTAAGCTGTCAATATGGGAGGGTTAATTCTTCTTAGTCAAACAGTGACTTTCTACCATAATTGGACAGATAGGAAAAAGCTCTGTTGTTTTAAGCATTCTTTTGGAGACAAAGGTACAAAACAAAGATCCAGTCAAACATTAAAAAGTTGTCTTCAAACCTTTTCGTAAAGCTGGAGTCAAATTAAAGCGTCTATCTTTTCAGAAACTGAACTGTCATTCTACCCTTCAACTCTGCTCTAGCCAGAGTTGGCTCTTCCTCACTCTCCCACGCTCTGGGGTCCAAGGATAACGTTAGTGTGCTTCACATGTGGATTCTGCAAGAGCTTGTCCAGCACATATAGTATACATGATTCTTCCTTGTGCTTGAAAGAAGAAACAATAGCCTCTTGTCATTTTCTCTTTGGGCCTCTGCTCTTTAGATAGTATTAGCGGATGAAAAAATTGGAGATTAAGCACTAAAAACTGTAACTTTACAGATAACTACTGAGATTTGAGCAAAATCCCAATCTGATTAGCCCAAGGTGATAATCATTGGAAAGGAACATCCCTGTCCTCATTACTGCTATTTATAAAGCATAAAGACAAACCCAAGCTCTTTTAATTTTAATAGTTATACATTTGGCCCAGAGATCAGATAGAGAAGTAGGAACCAACCGCACAGTGAAAGAGCTGCCAAGAAAATGCCTTTTCCCCAAATCAAGTTTTGGTAGAAACATTTCCATTGGAGGACTTTCTCTAGATCGAGCATTTTAAGTTCACTAAAAGTTATTTTTGTAAGGAATTGAGATCTACAATATATTTATATCCATAATTCTAAACACTCAAGTCTAAAAATAAGTAGTGATGCAGTCACTGAATAGCAAGGCATGTCCACATTTCAAATAGTTATAAAACACATGAAATGATGTAACAATAGAAGGTCAAAAATGTGAAAAGTATTAGCATAGTTATATTGCATTGAGGAAAAGGTAGAGTAGACTATTTAGTTACCTAAACAAATTTACAGGGAAATGAGATCCTAGAAGTCCTCCGATGAATCAAGTGCAGGTAATCTAAAGGTGGGGAGTGCATGTTTTATTTCTATCTGTTCCCTTTAATAAGAGAACATGAGGTAATCAGAAAGTATACAATGCATTCTGGACTGTTCTGTTATTTGTCCCAGGCAAGACAAATCAAAATGCTTCGGAAAAGTAAGGCCTAGTTGAGTATTTGGGTAGAGGCCCCCTTCAATCAGCTAGTCACTAAGTGGAAATCTCATGAGACACTTATTTTGCAGAGCTGGGTTGGTCGCGCTGTGGAGAAGGCTGGCTGCGGAGGTGGAGTCTCTTCCATGGCTCCTCAGCCTCCTCTGCATTTACTGAGTTAGGTCCTCAGCGTGGTGAAGGAAAACAGGTCATTTTCCTTCCTAAGTATCATTAGATGATTCCTCTACATGAGTTATATGAACCTTATGATAGTTAAAGATATTTAGAAAAATTTTTTTTTTCAATATTTCATCTCAAAGAGTTCTCAGTCCCCACCCCACACAAGGTACCGAGAAGGGGCACTAAAGTGCATTTTGATATAGAGGGTAGACTTGAAAGGTGCTGCCCAAGCTAAGAACCAAGATGATGCTGTTTGAAAAGAAAGGCAATTCCTTCTACCTCCGTCTCTGGAGTCACTGGAGGGAGGGCAGGGAACTAGACCCTCCCCAGAGGATTGTCCTGACTCTTAACGTTAGAGAAAACTGTGTAAGGACCTGCACAGACTCATTTACTTGTCCAAAATAGCAAAAAAAAAAAAAAAAAAAAAAAAAAAAGAAAGAAAGAAAGAAAAAAAAGGCCTATTTCACCCTTAAGAAAGTATTTGCAAATTTGATCAGTCATGATCATAAAAATGTGAGTGGATTCCAGATGCAATCCATGTGGGCATGCTCTGTGGTACTAGCTATGTGTCATCAGTTTGAATGAACATGCTGCTGTTCATTTTCATCAAAACATGACTTCTAAACTACCATAAATAAAATACACATGGAACAATTAAATCTGTTTCTTACAGTAATTACTTTTACATTAAAAAGTCACCATCATCTTCAGATATATTGAAAATTAGGACTCTAAATCTTATCACTTCCCAGTCTTAGTTAACATCTTGCACAGGCCCGATAATCCAAAACTTGGAGCTCTGATCTACACAGCTTGGCAGGTTTCACACAGTTTGACAGGTAGGCAACTGTGAGATATGCATTTTTAAAATTTAGCATTTTCTATCAAAACAGTCTGAAATCTTTTAAAATCCCCATAGAGACTGTATTTGTGCAATGCCACAGCCATGTGGCCAGAAAGGAGAAAACAAAATACAGTCTGGAAAATGAACCACAGTCCAAGTTTTCTTAGTCTTCAGTTTAAACAAGGATGAGCCCAGGAAATCCAATTAAATACAGTGCCTTAAATAGGGGAAGAGTTGGTCCTAGAATAATTTAAGGTACTAAACAGGGACTGTCTCAACCACGGGTGATTTGATGCACTCTTCGTGCAATCTGCTCTTCTCTGCAAGGCTCAAAGAATTTTCAGCAGGGTGTTCTGAAATGTGACTGTCACCATTCAATGCAGAGACAAACCCTTCCTGGGAGGGGCCTTTCAAGTATGAGTGAAATTCCACTTGAGGGTGACTGGACCTGTGTTCAGGATATAAGCTATTGCAGGGCACACCACTGTCATTTTCAGAAGAGGAGCAGCAAATGATTACAGAGGGGTTGGCAGCTGGGTAGTGGGAGGAACCATAGGCCTCTTCTGCTTGTCGGGCATAGTCCACAAATTGCTCTGGGGTCATGGTGTAAGGCACCAGAGAAAGGGTACCATTTTTGACAGTATCTCTGTCAGAATAGTTCTCAGAGATCTGGTTAGGAGTTCCTGGAATGTGGCTATCTATTTGGTAATACAGAGTTGAAGAGTTGGCATAAAAAGAAGCACTTTTTGCGTGGCTTTCGTGAATGGCGGTGCCATCTGAATAACAAAGGACAGAAGGAAGAGGGACAACATCGGCATGGGTGCCCAAACCTTCCACGAAGCTGTCTCCTTTGTCATCCTCCTCCTCTTCCTCCTCCTCTTCCTCTTCCTCCTCCTCCTCCTCCTCGTCTGATTCACTAGGTGCCAAGCTTTGGGTGCTAGAATCGGTGACTCCGCTGCAAAAGCTGCTCCCGTCCTCCTCCTCCTCCTCCTCCTCCTCTCCTTGGCAATCTAACTCCTCAGCAGACTGCAGGTGCAGCACTGCGGCCTGAGGTTCAGTCTCAATCTCAAAATTGTCTGCGATAGAATATTCTACGGAGTGAGCGACAGGGCCCATGGAACTACTGTGAGCACTTATCTCACCATGGCAACCGTTCAGCATGGGGATTTGCTGCTCTCGGTTTTTCTCCAGTTCAAGTTTCATTATTGTGTGCAAAAAGTGAGTCCGAACACGGATAGGATTAAATTCGATTCTACCTGCTGTGTTACTACATCCTTCTTTAGTGCAGCCACATGGGAAAGACATGCGATCCACCTTGGAAAGAAGAACAGAGATTAGCACCGTGGAACTATTACAAGCCAAATACAAATCCAGTGCCTTTCGGTAACTCTTGGAATTGAGGAATCTACTCCCTTCCACTGTATGCCAGAGTAAAGGGCAGACAAACTGCAAGTAAAAAGCAAACGAGGGAGGGAAAGATTAAAACCTAAGACATAACTAGGTTTTAACTATCCTCAAAATTAAAGTGGGCTGTGGGTGTGCTGACTGATCCTGTAGAGTGTGTGTGTTTTCATTTCTTTCTCCATTCACCGCCTTCGCCCCATTCCATTAATTCTGCTCCCATTTTTTCAGTGCTTCTATATTTTCCCCCAGGCTACTTTTCTTCCTTCTGCATCCCATCTCCCATGCCCACGTTATTACTAGTTTGTTTTGTTTTGTTTTTTCATGAGATAGCCTTGCTCTGTCACTCAGGCTAGAGTGCAGTGGAAGGATCATAACTCACTACGGCCTCCAACTCCTGGACTCAATGAATTTCCTATCTCAGCTGTGTGAGCAGCTGGTACTCCACGACCATGCCTAATAATTAAAAACTTTTTTGTATTTTAGAGATTTTTTTTTTGGTAGAGACAGAGTCTTACTTTATTGCCCTTGGTAGAATGCCGTGGCGTCACACAGCTCACAGCAACCTCCAACTCCTGGGCTTAGGCAATTCTCTTGCCTCAGCCTCCTGAGTAGCTGGGACTACAGGCGCCCACCACAACGCCCAGCTATTTTTTTTTCTTGCAGTTTGGCCGGGGCTGGGTTTGAACCCGCCACCCTTGGTATATGGGGCCAGCGCCCCACCCACTGAGCCATAGGCACTGCCCTGAGATGGGGTTTTATTATGATGACCAGGCTGGTTGCTAACTCCTGGCCTCAAGCGATCCTCTTGCTTCAGCCTGCTGAGTTTCTGGGACCACAGGTGATAGCCACAGTGTCTGCTCCACAGGCCCACTTTTAAAGAAGATAACTTACTGTACTTCCCACATGCTATTTTTACTCCAACTTACATGACTTCTCGTTAGCTGTGTCCTTTTCTCTTTGTTTATTATGAAACAATCTCTAGTATCACACACTCATGTCGTTTGCTCTAGCTTGTTTACTTTCTCTTTCCCTGGGTCCCTGGGTGCGTGTGTGTACTGCCGGGCTGTGGAGCGTGTGCATACTCGTGACTGATGGGTGAATTCATATTAAGGTCCTGGCTCTTCCCCTTCTTTCCCCACTCCATTAGACACAAGCTCCTCAAAGAAAGGGAAAGTGCCCTGCATCAGTATCCCAAAATTATTTGAGTGATTGCTATCTGGTGATAGAGTGATTGGTTTCAATAAATGTTACCGGATTGACCTCTTCATTCAGGTGAGAGGTGGAATTCTGGGCAATCCAAGAATACTCATAAGATACTTATTAATTGACTCAGGTCCACAAATTATCCTATATGTAGACCACAGTATGAGTCACATACTGCCTCTGCTTGCCATCTTGTTGAGTGCAGGTAGTCTCCTGTGCTATAGGGGAGTAGGTAGATTCAACACAATCATCCTTATCCCAAGCAACTGCAGATTCAGAGCTACAATATGTAGCTGTTGTTTTACTCATGAATCTCTTTTCTATGAATCAGTCTTGAGCAACTGTTCAGTTCATAGGAATTATCTTCTTTTGCCTGCCTAAGAGGGTTTCCTTATTTAAAAAGCCATGTTTCTACATAAAATAGTCAGCTCTAACTACTTATAGGGCACCAATGATGAGATGGATGGATGGGGACCAGAGAACGATGTGGTTATCAATCATCAGAGACTGGTAAACCTTTAAAGGATTTTGTTTGTTTGTTTGAAAAGCACAAGGGAGTAAATATTTGAGCTCTGTGTGCCGTATAGCCTCTGCTGCAACCCCAGTAGCGAACTCTGCTGTAAGAGCAGGAAAGCTATCACAGACCGTATGCTCACATAAATAAAATAACAGGGCTGTAGTCCAATAAAACTTAAGTCACAAAGGTAGGTGGGAGGTCGGATTTGGCCTGTGAATTTACAGTTTTCCAATCCTTGACCTAGTCCAACCCCTAGATTTTAGAGATGAAGAAATTAAACCCAGGGAGTTTACCCAACTTGACAATTCCACATAGTTAGAAAATAGCAAAGACAGGAGAACAGTTTAGTTTTTGGAAATCTCTGTCTAATGACTTTTCCATAGTCCAATCACCTCTAATCGATGTTATCATTTTAGATCCCATGCATGGATCAGAAAGTACAACTTCAAATGTTAGAGGCATTATGATCTCCTAGAATATTTGTAAAAAGTCAAGTAAGTTCATGGAATAATTGAATCCAAGACGACATAATTTTAATTGACTAAGCTGCAGCTTGGCTGGCATTTCACACCGCACAGTGTATGTATAAGCATTTTGTGCATTCCTGGGAATGTTCTCGAATTAGTGTTTCTCTCTTCCTGAATTATGCATGTTGCTTCCCCACCAAATTGTCTTTTACTCGAGGGAAGCTTCGTGATAGGTGAAAAGACTACTCGCTTTAGGGGGTGGCAGGGACTGGCAAACTCTTAAAGGATTCCATTTCGTGCTCTACTATTCAGACCCTCACCTGACACTTAATGCCCGCCAGGCTGCAGGTGCACGTGTCTGGGTCGCAAAACACGCGGCAGTCACAGCCGCAGTCCTCGCGCGAGAGGCGGATGGCGCGCAGCTCGTGCTTTTCTTCCACGTCAATCTTCTTCACTCCCGAGGCGCGCAGCAGCGCTCTGCGTTTTTTTGTTGGCAAGGGTTGTAGGAAGAAGTACTCGTCTACCTCTGTGTTGTCTAAATCAATGTCGTCATCAGAAATGTCGTCCACCGTCAGGGTGCTGGCTTCTTCAGATTCCACGGTGCCGTTCTTAGTCATCTACAGACACAAAGCAGCAGATAGGAGACTTAGCAGGGGCAGGGCGCCAAACCACGGTGTTCACGCGTGGTGGGAGCGCATGGTTACACCGCGTATATCCACGTGTCCCCATAACCCAAAAGTGTTTGTCAGTTAGAACGTTCCTTTTTATCTTCTTCTGTAGGAGGCGTCACAGAAAATAAAACAAAGGCATCAAAATGACAGGCTTTTGAGTGTACTGGTGCCAGAAGGCTACTAATTGGAACTCTTAACCTCTGAACGTTAGGAGCTACAGTTAGAGCTTTTAGCCAGTGCCACGTATAAAAGACCGAAGGTTACAGATGCCCATCAGTGAAAGCTATCTTTAGACGGAGTTCACGATGGGCAGCTCTGGTGTTGGAATAAACGTGTCCTTGTTCAAAGGTGATAGCTCTTAGTGGAAGCCATCGCCACCTTATTCAACAAACATGTTGTCCTTGAAATAACAACCCTGTCTTTTGGGCTCAAACAAAACTAAGCACCAGGAGATAAAGCTGGGCTGCCCTGTGCTACGGGGATTACAAACGCGATTATACTACAGAACATTCCAAGAACAAGGTCTTGATACGAAGTAATCAGGTCAACGTGCTCTCTAAGACAAGGAACAGAGAGCAGGGCCAGCAAGCTCTCGGCAACCAGCAACTGAAACAATAAACTTGGCTCTGGGAGGAGTTCATGCCAACCTTCACCCAAAGCAATACCTTCCTGCATAATCGCTTACCTGCACAACCACCAAGTTCCATACACCCCTGACTATTCTGCTTCTATTTAGATTTTCTTTCTAAATTAATCTCATCCATCAGTAGGCCCTGAATCAGTATTGCATTTGTTACTATTATACCACCACGTGTTTTGTTTCCTTCAGAACAAAGCATTTAGATAAAGAAGTTTTTTTCTGAATATGGGCAGGAAATCTTTTCTGAGGAGCAGCACAGGAATAAATCCAGACATGTTACGAGAAAATATCATGAAAGTTCTAAATACAAAAGCTATGTTTCATTCTTACATTTTAAAATGTATTCCATCTTAGTCTTCATTAAGTGTAATTATTATTTTGCTCCGTTATCTTAGCAAGTTTTTATCTATCATACAGTAAAAATCCTCTGGGGACAGCAGACATCATTGTCTTCATAAGACAAAGTCCACCATTTAGATAAGAACATTTGTTACTGGAAAAAACTCTCAAATCGGACAATGTGGAATATATTAAAAAACAAACAGAAGATTGGATTTGGCCCTCTGGCAAAGGATCTTTCATAGAGGAAACAACACAGTAAAATATTATTACAAAAGATCCCGGACATGCAGTTTCAAAAGCAACTTAATTGCAATTTTGAATATTTCAGAGCTTAAATCTATGATCCTACAAAGACAGACCCTTTTATTGGGTTTTGTTTCTTGATGTGATCTGAAATTTCTTTCTTTGTTTCGGCGTTTCTTTGCATAAGTGTTTATTAATTAAATTGTGATGTCCACTAACTGGATTGTACTTTTGCTATAGTCATTATTTTTGCTAATTCTTATTTAGTAACAATCTGCATATTCCTATCTGTAAAGATCTGATTTTCTAAGGAATTCTGTGTCTGATCACTAATGTGTACTTAATCCTCTGTGATAGGTACAGCTACATTAACAAAAAGTGCTGGCTGGGTACCTGTAGCTCAGTGGTTGGGGCACCAGCCACATACACCAGGGCTGGCAGGTTCTAATCCAGCCCAGGCCTGTTTAAGCAATGATGACAAAGACAATGACGACAACAACAAAAATAGCTGGGTGTTGTGCTGGGGCCTATAGTTCCAGCTACTTGAGAGGCTGAGACAAGAGAATCACTTAAGCCCACGAGTTTGAGGTTGCTGTGAGCTGTGACGCCATAGCACTGTACCAAGGGCAACATAGGAAGACTCTGTCTCAAAAAAAATGTTCACTTTCCTATCTTTTGATTCTGTGGCACTTAGATTTCTTTTCTTTTCTTTTCTTTTCTTTCTTTTTTTTTTTTAAACAGTTTTACTCTTTTGCCCTGGGTAGACGGCTGTGGCATCATCATAGCTCACAGCAACCTCAAACTCCTGGGCTCAAGCAATCCTCCTTCCTCAGCCTCCCAAGTAGCTGGTATTATAGGAGTCTGCCATGATGCCGGGCTATTTTTTTTTCTATTTTTAGTAGAGACAGGGTCTCCCTCTAGCTCAGTCTGGTCTTGTACTCCTGAGCTCAAGTAATCCACCTGCCTCAGCCTCCCAGAGTGCAAGATTACAGGTGTGAGCCAGTGTCTGCTCTAGATTTGTTTTCTTTAATTCTTGGCTTGCCTGTATGAGCCTCAGTAAGCTTCTGACATAGCACATGTAGCATACTCAGAATTTAGCTGGTATGATTCACTTAAATACTTCCTACTCAATATCTATGTTCCATAACTTTTACGCTTCTTTGTACAATCTCCATTTTGTATCAATAGGGCTATTTTTGAAAAATGGTTATCAGAGAATATGTATGAAATCTAAAAGTCAACATGTTAGAAAACATTTACCAACCAAATCAAAACTTTTAGGGCCACAAGAACAAACAGCTATATCTCAAAAGAACTTGAACTACAGATTCAGTTTACTTCCAATATAAGTGCCCTTATGAAATGCATCTATTACTCCCATACACCAAAATTTAATAAGCAATTTTATTTTAAAATAAAAATTCAACTAAGAATCCAAACTCTTCTTCCATAAAGAGCTACATACTGTTTCCCTCTTGCTCGAGAACCTGTTTGTGTTCTAAGGTTCTAATCTAGATTTTCACAATCTCACATTAATGTCTTCCCTGCTTCAATATCCTCTCTCTCCCTTCTAATGAAGGGAATATTCTAGTTCAGCCGGTTAACTGGCTTATCTTCCCTCATGTTTCTGGCGTGGTATGTAGCCTCTGAGACAAACTCTGATTCTCTAACATCTTTCTTGGGAGTCATTTTCCAACTTTCCTCTCCAGTCTATGTCCATTCGCATCTTTAAAACTCGGGCCAAAAGTACTGAGTTTTAATGCTCTTTAGAATCAGAGTGCTACATAGATTATTTCCAAATGCCTTTCCCCATATTAAACAACGAGAGGAAAAGTCCATACGCTCTCTATTTTTTCCCAAACCAACTCACATAATTATGCTGGAAGATCTAGTGCAAAGAAATCCAGGGAGCCTGCCAAGATCATCCCGTCTACTTTGGCTAACTCCTTTTATGCAAGAAGAGTTATTTTGCTCATTTATTTTCTCTTGACATGAACAGTACCTTTAAATGTCTTTTTCCTTATCAGAATGGAATCATTGAATTTTCAGAATTTAGTTCATCAAGTGCAGCCTCCTTGTTTTGTGCATTAATGAGATTGTAGTTAATTGTGACCTCTCCAAGATAAACTTGTAGAACCAAATTCCTTAACTGCTATTTCCATGTGCTTTTTCCTGTACCTCACAGATGGATTACAAGCTAAAAAGATACCACACTCATAAAATAAACCACATATAAGTACCGTGCGCTAACCAATTGCACCAGTGTGACGCAGCCATAAAAAAAGATGGAGACGTTGCCTCTTCTATGTTTACATGGATGGAGCTGGAATATATTCTTCTTAGTAAAGTATCTCAAGAATGGAAGAAAAAGTATCCAATGTACTCAGCACTATTATGAAACCAATATATAATCACCCACACTTTCTTACAAATGAAAAAACACAATTATAGCCCAGAATGAAGGAGGGAAGAGAAGGGAGAGGGGAGGGGAGGGGGCCGGCCAGGTGGAGGGAGGGTAATCGATGGGACCTCACCTATTGTGCATACTGCAAGGGTACATGTCAAATCGATTAAGAAGGGAGTATAAATGTCTTAACACAACAATTAGGTAAGTTAGGTGAAGGCTATGTTAATCAGTTTGATGTAAGCATTCCAAATTGTATACACAATCCACATTGTATCCCATAAATGCATTAATGTACACAGTTATGATTTAATTACAAAAAATAAAATAAACCACATAGTAGCCAAAACTTTCACATGAAGGTTTTCAATCTAGGACTTGATTCATTTCTCATGTAGCGTTCATTCTCCCCCCAAAATGTGGCCGCCACAAGAGCTCGAAGAAAGTGTACAGAAAGTGTGGTTTAGGAAGATTACAAATAATCCTGGCCTTCAGACTTCCTTTTGTTTCTATGTATGTCTGTGTGTGAAAGAAAGGAAAGTAGGAGGTGGGGATGAAAGAGAGGTAGGAGAAACAGATTATGACTTGATAATAACAATGTTAGTAACAGTTTCTGAATCTGTATACCAGCCGCTGTTCTAAGCACTTACTTGCATTAGCTCATGTAGCATCAGAAAATTCTCGTGAGGTAGATACCATCATTGTATCCATCTAACTGATAAGGAAACTGATACCCAGGAGCTAAATAACTTGCCCATAATTGCATATTTGAAGTCATGTGCCCTGTTATAATCCTAGACATTTGGCTCTGTAGCTTGTGCTCTTAAAGTCATGACCTGTGTGTATATGTGTCTACACATACTGTTTTTTATACGTTTAATATTTATTAGAAGGCCTTTTATGCTGATTTTGTATTAGGCATTAGCTATATTTGTGCAAAGACAAAGGTGTGGATTAAAGTAACGAGACAGGAAGTCTCAGAATTTTAACTCAATTCATAAGGAATTCCTCGCTATAAATTATCTCATCTAATTTTCACGACAATCTTATAAAGTATCAATTTATAGTTGAGAAAAATGAATCTTAGAGAAGGGGATTTGCCAAGTCTCGCTAAATAACTAGTTAGATGGTGATTGAGTTTATTTGATTCCAAAGCTTAAGATGTGACTGCAAGACTAGTTTAGAAGAAGAATTTTTTTAAAGCAATGGTAGAAAAATTGTGTGGAAGGAAAAAAATAAATCAGCTCCACTCAGTGCTGTGGGGCAGGAAACAAAATACCAGCCCTGATACGGCGTAGTGAGCGAAAGTTACTGTAG